AGTGAAACAAGTCCCACGTTAAAAAAAATATTCAGTTTCTTCCTTCTCCTTTATTTTGAGTCTTCATCTATCCATCTCTGTGCATTATATTATTATTTTAAAATATTATTTAAAATATTATAAAATATTATTATTATTTTTTAAGTATACTTTCCTCCGCAGGGATCTCCTTATTTTTCCATGGCCGTGCAAAAACAATTGTGCGCCGTTGTTGTTGATACAGTCCTCGGTTTACGACAGAGGCCTCGAAGTGACAACATCGCTGAAAAAAAAGCCACTTTGGGCCGTTTTTTCACACTTGTGACCGTCGCGACCATCCCTGCGGTCACGTGATGGAAATTCAAAGGCTTGTAAACTGGCATGTACTTATGACTGTTGCGGCATCCCAATTGGATCCCCTTTTGCGACAAGCAAAGTCAAGGGGGAAGCAGGATCCGCTTAACGACCGTGGGACTTAAGAGCCTTCGATGAGCATCTGTCAAAGTGAAGTCTCGGTACACGCCGCGGGAGGACTGTTACATACCTACAATACGCTCTGGTGGTGAAGTTGTTTATCTTTTTGTCTAATTTGTACTTTGTGTAATCCTCCAAGCCATCTTTCACGGCGATAATGGTGAGAACCACGCAGAGTGGAATCATGGTAACTTCTTTTCTAAAGGCTTCCACCGCTGGGACCCAGTTGAGCAGAACGATAAATAAGAAGTACAGATTGGCGACTCTGAAACAGAACAAAACACACCCGCCGTAAACATACGAGAGACACGTACGAGGTATTCGTAGGGAAGCAACCTTAGCTAATCAAAGGAATATCGAAACGACGTTGTGTATCCACAAACTGTAGGTGTTTTGTCATAGGTAGACTCAAATATCCTGATATTTGTTTCTTTCTGACTTAAATATTCTGCTTAAAATCATAGTTCAGATGCCACCACAATTGTAAACAAAAGATGTTGAGACTCCAAAATAGAAGAACAGAACAGAACAGAACAGAACAGAACAGAATGATAGAATAGAATGATAGAATAGAATAGAATAGAATAGAATAGAATAGAATAGAATAGAATAGAATAGGGATAGGGATAGGGATAGGGATAGGGATAGGGATAGGGATAGGGATAGGATAGGATAGGATAGGATAGGATAGGATAGGATAGGATAGGATAGGATAAGCACTGAACAACCAGCTTAGTAACTTATCAACTGCAGAGTAGAGTAGAGTAGAGTAGAGTAGAGTAGAGTAGAGGAGAGGAGAGGAGAGGAGAGGAGAGGAGAAGAGAAGAGAAGAGAAGAGAAGAGAAGAGAAGAGAAGAGAAGAGAAGAGAAGAGAAGATGGAAGATGGAAGATGGAAGATGGAAGATGGAAGATGGAAGATGGGAAATGGAATGGAACGGAATAAAATTCTTTATTGGCCAGGTGTGATTGGACACACAAGGAATTTGTCTCCGGTGCAGAAGCTCTCAGTGTACATACAAGCAACAAGTGATAAATCATGATCATAATCATAAAATACAATCATCATAAATCATAACATACAACCAATCAACCGATAGTCCTAAGATGCTAAAGGAATAGGTAATAGGAAGGATGATAGTGATACAGTCCTACTACAGTTTGACACCCTGGGGCATAAGAGAGCGTTGTGGGAAGTGATGGCACGGGTGAGAATAAAACTCTCTTTGTGTGCGTCTATCAGAATTATAAACTATAAACTATAAACTCAAATAGAATAAGGAAACAAACGAATCACCTGTGGAACTGTTCGAAGAGATTCCTAGGTATGAAGGACCAAAACCGGTATTTGGTCGTCCGTATTTTGTTATTCACATAAAGGTTGGTGACTTTTTTATACTCCTCTTTAAAATGGGCTGACCAAGGTATAACGATTCGGTGTTTCTTCGATTTTTCAGGGACCAGCAGGGTCTCACAACTGATTTTCGGCCTGATTTTGCTCTGCCTGCCGAAGACCAATTTCAGCCACCGCTGACAATAACGGGGTGCCCACGCACTGTCTCCCATCTTCTCAAAAGAAACCAGCAAATCTGGAAGAGGAGACCTATGAGAATAAATTTAGTTAAATGATCGTTGCAAAGGACTTATCTGCCCTGCTGAGATCAAGGGCACACTGAACAGTCTACTATAAACCAACCTTCTAAATTGCCAAATATTTAAAACAAAGACTTGCTCAAGCATCTTGGGGGCGGGAAGGTGGAGGTATTGAGTTCTTTTTTTTTTTTTTTAATGAAATTTTATTGAATTAAGAATATATTGCAATTCAAACTATACGGTTTGGCAACGTGTAGTCATATTATATATTTACAAGTGCGGTGTCTAATCAATTATCTAATTAATTATACAGTTTGTACAAAAATTCTTATATATAAAATTTCTGCGCAGTCAAGTATCTTATTGACTATCTGTTCCTCGGTTGGACCTCTTTTCTCTTTCCAATATCTGGCATAGGAGAGTCTAGCAGCTGTGACAATATGAATAATCAAATATTTCTTGTCCTTATCAAATGTTCGTTTTAGCACTCCCAGGAGATAGAAATTAATATCCTCCTTTAATATTTCTTGGATCCATTTTTGTATGCGCACTCCTCTGGAGGTATTGAGTTCTTACTCCAGAAGTTGTGGGTGCTCCATTAGTGGAGGTTTTTAAGAAGAGATTGGACAACCGTTTGTCTGGAATGGCATAGGACTTCCTGCCTGAACAGGGGGTTGGACTAGAAGACCTCCAAGGTCCCTTCCCACTCGTGATTGTTATCTTGTACAAGGTAGGGCTTTGCCCACGTCTGATCCCATAGAAAAGACTCACAATGATAGCTGAAAAAAGCAGGCTAATAACAACAACAATAACAACAACAATACATATTACAACAATATTATTATTATTATTATTATTGGTTAATCTTTAGTGAGATTCACAGCCTTTGAGGCTGGTTAATAGCTCAGCAGCTCGAGTCCTAACCAAGGACCTAGGAACTTAAGGTATCGTCGGAGGATGTAAGCTGTTCCGAGTAATATTATTATTATTATTATTATTATTATTATTATTATTATTATTATTATTATTATTATTATTATTATTATTATTATTTATTGGTTAATCTTTAGTGAGATTCACAGCCTTTGAGGATGGTTAATAGCTCAGCAGCTCGAGTCCTAACCAAGGACCTAGGAACTGTTAAGGTATTGTCGGAGGATGTAAGCTGTTCCGAGTAAGGTGGTTTTTGTAGAGTCAAATATTATTTTTTATTATTTTGTAGAGTCAAATATTTTATTATTATTATTATTATTATTATTATTACTATTATTATTGTTGCTATTATATTATTATTAATTATTTATTATTATTTACTGATATCGCTGTACCAGGAGACGCCAGGGGGCGAAGAAAAAGAACTGGAAAAAAATCACAAAATACCTGGCCATCGAAACTACACGACTATGGATGAAACATGCAAGAGTGATACCCATCGTCATTGGGGCACTTGGTACCATGTCCAAGAATTTTATAAGATACATCAACAAATTGCAGCTTCCTGCAATAACACCAGCGGAACTGCAAAAAACTGCGCTACTCGGAACATCGTACATCTTAAGAAGATTCTTGGTTGATCCCTGGGACGCTGGCAGCAACCCCTATCAACCATCAGCACCAGTCAATGGTATGTGTGATGCATTTTGAATGTTCAGTTGACTGAGTTTCATGTTTAATAAATAAAGTAAATAATAATAATAATAATGCAAGAACTCACTTGTTTAGACTTTACTGCCAATAAAAGTTTTTACAGAAGAAAACCGAAGATTTAAGCCATGGTGGCTGAAAATCTTTGCATGAGGCACCATTGGCATCCAACTCGGAGAAACTTCGGAACCAGCAACTGATGTCCATTGTGGTGAACGTTCTAGAAGAGTTAGACAATGGATTGTGCAACCATAAGTTGGCTCTCCTAGGTTCTACAGGCTGACATGTGTCCTCCTGCTTTGCAAATACAGGCGGACCTCAACGCTCGGCCCAACATTTACGTTGCTAAGTGAGAAATTTGTTAAGTGAGTTTTGCCCCGTGTTACGTACCACCGTTGTTAAGCGGTTGTGAAGTTAGTCACACGCTGGCTCAGAGAACCTGGCTTCCCCATGGATTTTGCTCGCTGGAAGGTCAAAAACAGGGATTACATGGCTTGGCTGCGACCGTCGTAAATACGAATCGGTTGAATTTTGATCACCTTTCCATGGTTTTAAGGGTGAAAAACGGCCCTAAGTCAACCTTTTTTTTCCAGGGCCGTCGTTAACTTCGAACGGTCACTAAACAAAGTCAAATGAGCACAAAAACGGTTGTTAAGTGAACCATCGGCTTTCTGAGAAGGTCGCAAAAGGGGGAATCCCATGACGTTGAGACACAGCAACCGTCGTTAAGTAGGAACCAGTGGTCGGAAATTTTGAAATGTATGTTCCTAAGCGCGATGTTCGCTAAGTGAGTTTTGCCCCATTTTGCGACCTTCCTTGGCGCCGTCGGTAAGTGAATCGCGGCAGTTGTTAAAAGTTAGCAACGCGGTTGTTAAGTGAATCAGGCTTTCCCGTTGATTTTGCTCGTCAGAAGGTTGCAAACGGGGGGGGGGGGGGGCCCCGGGCCCCGGGGAACTGTGACCGTCGTAAGTATGAGTCAGTTGCTAAGCATGGGATGCTGCAATGGTTATAACTGTGAAAAACACCCCTAAGTCATTTTTTTCAGTGCCGTTATAACTTTGAACGGTCACTAATCGAACTGTCGTTAAGGCGAGGACTGCCTGCATTGTAATGTTATTTGTGGATTACAGAATAAGCAATAAAGCAATAAATGAGCAATAAAGCTTTGACATTGGCACAATAGGCTAATGCAAGCCACATTTGGTGCCACAAAACTACAATTCCCGGGATGCAATGCTCGTCACGTGTCGACGAGGCTCCTCCTCCCGCCGGCCAAACGCTGCGCCTGCGCAGAAACGGCTGGCCTACTCCGCTGCTTCCGTCGGAGGAAACTACGCATGCGCGCGACGAAGCGGAAAAGCGAGCCAGGCGGACCCCGCCTCGACTCTTGGCGCCTGCGCACGGGAAGATGAAGCTCTTGGAGAAATTGCCGGAGGCTGAGACAGCGAAAGTGAGGACGGAAAGGGACTTTATGACGGTCGGATGGCCTATCGGGGTTTCCGCATCAGCGGAGCATTCATTTTTCCTCAGTCCGGGCATCGAACGCTCGAAGCTAGCTGCCCATGCGCAGAACGGTTCGCGCGCATCTGAACGTGTGCATGAGTGTGCGCATGCGCGCGCGTGGGCTGCTTTTTTTTTTTTTTGCACATGCGTAGTAGGGTTTTTTTTTAAAAAAAAATTCCTGTAGCATCCTTGCTGTATTGGAATAACAGAGTTGGAGGGGACCTTGGAGGTCATTTAGTCCAACCTCCTATTTCTTGCATTTGCATCTCTTTTTTTCCCCTTTTGGAGAGATGATGATGATGATTAATAATAATATCAATGGTATTTGTGATGCATTTTTAATGTTTAATATTATTATTATTATTATTATTTAATTAAATATGAAACTCAGTCAACTGAACATTCAAAAATGCATCACAAATACCACTGACATTATTATTATTATTAATAATAATAATAATAATAATAATAATAAATTAGTAAGTAAGTAAGTATTGGCTCAGGAGTGGCTGACCTCATCGATTTAAAAGTTACCCAACACTGAACGAAAAAATAAATTTGTCTATTTATTCCTTAATATAAATGACGATCCTGGAATTATTATGAACTGAAAGAAAGAAAGACTTTCGACTCATGCCTTGCAGGTAGTCCTCGACATACGATCGCAATGGAGCCCAACATTTCTGTTGCTAAGCGAAACATTTAAGTGAATTCCCCACCCTCCCCATTTTATCGCCTTTCTTGCCACCTTTGTTCAGCGAATCACTGCGGCCGTTAAACGAGTAACCTGGTTGTTAAGTGAATCGGGCTTTCCCGTTGACTCGGCTTGTCTGAAGGTTGCAAAAGGAGAGCATGTTATACACACATCCCCGGGGGTCATGGCAACCGTCATAAACTAAGTAATAAGTTTAATTAGCAATTTTATGATGTTTGTGTGTCTATATTTTTCTTGACTGTACACCGCCTTGAGTCCTACGGGAGAAAGGCGGTATAGAAATATAATTAATTAATTAATAATAAATAAATAAATAAATAAATAAATAAATAAATAATTAATACGAGTCAGTTGCCAAGCGTCCGAATTTTGGGTCATAAGTATCAAAAATTGTCCCTTTTCCCCCCAGTGCCATTGTAACTCCAAACGGTCACTAAACGAGCAGTTGTAAGTCAAGGACTACCTGTACCGAGTCGTGGCCCTGAGGAAACTCATCTCTTTGTTTATGCTTCATTTCTTGCAGTTCTTTCACAAAGTCATCGACGGGCTGTGTGGCCACGTTTTCCCCCGGTATCGTGACTACGATGCCGTTTGGAATTTAACAGAATGGATGGAGGTGCTCGAACAAACGGCCTCGTATTTCAGGGAAACGGTTGGAAAAGATCTTTCGGAGGAAGAGGTAGAAACATCCGGGGATTTAAAAAAAAAGAGAGAGAGAAGGACTTGATTCGGCTGGTTGACTCGAAATTTATTTCATAGAAAAGAAAATCATTTTAAGATCATTATAAAGCAAAGCTTGGTTTATGGAGGAGAACTTTGTTGATTTACGCGTAAATCTAAGATTAGATTAGATTAGATTAGATTAGATTAGATTAGATTAGATTAG